TAAAAAATTTAAATTCCAAGAATTGGAAAGTTAAAAGATATGCATACAAAGGCCAAGAAAGGAGAAGCATATGGTTAGCAACCAGAATTTCATTCAGATGGAGGTCAGATTGATTTTCTCTGCCTATTTTATAAGAATGGGTTGGGAATACATCCATCATATGGAAATAAAAAACAAAGTGAGGAAATAATATTAGGTTCACCTACCCAGACTATCACCCTACTATTTCCTGACTCCTTAATTTAGGATCCTTTATTCTTGATATTGTCTAGTAGGTTTGTAGGTATGCCAAAAGAAATAGCAGGTAGAAGTAAGGCTTTGGTATTGCAATACTATTGGCTATAATTATGGCTAACTAAAAAATCATTCTTTGTAATTATGAATTACAAGTACAAACTAATATTAACACATTTTCTATTAAGCATTTAAGTGAGGAATTCCAACAATTATTCAGCCAGTATGTGGTTAATTTCAATTAGTATCAAAGGTACATTTCTCTATCAATCAAGTATCATGATCATTGCTGGTGCCTCATGATTTGCTGGAAGACTATGAGTAAACATAAGCAAAAATGGTGTTTATTTACTCAGCCATAAAAAAAGGATGAAATTATGGCACTTGCTGGTAAATGGATGGAACTGGAGACTATCATGCTAAATGAAATAAGCCAATTCCCCAAAACTAAAGGCCAAATGTTCTCTCGGATATGTGGATGCTGACATGCTGACACACAATAAGCCCGGGAGAGAGGAAGAATAGAATTTGTTGTATTAGACAAAAGGGAATGAAGGGAAGAGGGGATTAGGAATAGGAAAGACAGTAGAATGAATCAGACATAACTTTCCTATGTACATATATGAATACATAACCAGTGTAATTGAACATCATGTTCAACCATAGGAATGGGGTCCTAATTAGAATAAGTTATACATGTATAATAATGTATGTATAACAATTCAAAATACACTCTCCTGTCATGTGTATCTAAAAAGAACAAATAAAAAATAAACAACACCAAGATAAAAACATTACTCTTACAAAATTAAATTCTGTATCACAAGCTCTGAGTCAAATTTCAGGAAAAATGTTATTATTGTTATTAATAAAATCAATATCAATAAAATGTTATTAATAAAATTTATTCTTCATTTAAAAATGGTCCATATCATCTATTGAACAGATTCAGCAATTCAGTCCCCTATCTTTCCTTTTGTTTGTTTGTTTACTTTTTAACTGTGCTGGGGACTAAACCCAAGGGCTCTCACATGCTAAAAAAAGTGCTCTACCATTGAGTTATATCCCCAGCACCCCCATCTTCCCTCTGAAATGAATACTTTAATAACTACCACATGTTATCAAGCCCCAAATAAATTAGACATTACTTGGAATCATTTATTTCATGCTGGCTCACTATATACCTCTAAGTGTATTAGTGTGCTCAGGATGCTATGACAAAATATCATAATAGAAATGGCTTAAACAACATTTATTTCTAACAGTTCTGGAAGCTACGAAGTACCAGATCAGATACCAGCAGGAACAAGTTGTGGGAAGGACTCTCTTCATCACTTATAGGCAGCAGTCTTCTTGCTATGTCCTCTCAGGTTAGAAAGATAAACAAGCAAGCTCTCTGCAACCAGTTCCATCATGAGGACACCACCCTCATGACTTTATCTAAACTTGATTAACTACCAAAGGCCTCACCTTTCTTTTTTAAATATTTTTTTAGTTGTGTATGGACTCAATGCCTTTGTTTTTATGTGGTGCTGGGATCGAACCCAGTGCCTCACACTTTTGAGGCAAGAACTCCACCACTGAGCCACAATCCCACTCCCGGCCTCACCTCTTAATACCATCTGTTGCACTGGGTTTAGAGCTTCAACATATGAATCTGGGGTTTGCAAATATTTAGTCTACAATAGTAGGGAAAGTGGATACAGCTTAAAAACAAGAACCACATATATGATGTTTGGCAGGAGGAGGGAAAGCTGATTTCTCTATTTTAAAATCAATTTTGGTGCAGTATACAGAAATGCTGGCTGTTGTCCACAGGGATAATTTTCTTTAATTAACAGAAAATTCATTTATTTAAAAATATATCCTATGCCTACAATGAGACAGGCACAGATGACAAGTAATCTGTGAAGGAGTAGGTTAGAGGTAATAAGCTAGGTCATAACTGCTGACTTTTTTAAAGTCAAAGTACCAAAAAGGAGCCCACTCTCACTTGAACTGAGAATCCATGTAGAGTGAGGGGAAAAAAAGGTCAACCCTATGGAGTTCAATCCATAGTATTTAATAGAAATGGTGACTCCAAATCTTGTTGAGTTTTTGATTTCACACTGTTGATGACTAAAAATAGTGTGTGCCATCTATTTGCCAAAAGAGAATCTAAATTAACTCTCTTTCAAGATCCTCTTCATATCTGAAGATATCCCATAACTTTTCATAAAGAAGTCTGAGGAACATTAGTTTACACAAACCCCCAAAAGGTATATTATTTGAATAATAACATATATAACTCTTGAGTTCATTTTCAACACAGCAAATAATGTTCCCAATGGTTGGAATATTACAGTTATTCCAATTTGTTAGGGATTTTTCCTATTACAGGGCACTAAAACAGTTTCCAAAAAGAGCTGCAAGACATAAATAGTACAAAAGAATTATTTTCACATAATAATGGGCTTATAAAAAGCCTAATAAAAAGAAATCTATTTAGAGAATATGGGAAGTATGTTTGAATTTGTTTAACAGAAAAAATTCAGGAGAGACTCATTGGCTTATGTTTGGGGACAGAAGAAATAGGTAGACTAAATCAGTTATTTATTCTAGATATTATTCCATCCTCCCACAGTTTTACCTTTCTCCATTCCTAATCTATTATTCTTCTCTATTTCGGGGCTTTCAAACTAAGCTTCCCAAGTTTACTTGCCCTGCAGCTGACTGCACATGGCTTAGGAAGTAAGCTCTAAGCCTCAAATGGCATTACCAGGAGAATATGAAAGTACACAGATATATTTGAAGGGATCAGCTCTTTAGAGAACAATGAATCAAAAATACCAGTAAATTACAAATACACAGGGAAATATTACAATTCAGTTAAGCTTTCAAGAAAATCAAAAATACTATCTATATTTATACTTTCTGAAAATAGAAAGGAGCAAATGGAATTCTTCTTAGGCGGACCCAAGTAATGTGAAAGGGGGAAAATATGTCTTCCTAGGTCAAGGGAGGCATATCAAGAGAAAATTAAGTCTCCTCTTTTAAGAGATCCATGAAAGAAGTTTTTGCATGTCACTCAGAAGTGCTATGTGGAAAAGAGCTGAAATAAGATCATATTTACCTAAGAATTCCTGAATCCAATGCAAGCTAAAAAATGGAAAGGACATGGGAAGCAGAAGTAACTTATTAAATGTCCATTATTTGCTGTCTTTTACACACATGCTCTGTCTTCTATTTCAATAGTACTCAAATTTTTTTTAGTTGAATCATTAAAAAATGTCTCCCAACACCATCTTTTTTCTAAGTTACCAATGAGGAAAATTAACACACACACACACACACACACACACGGCCATACATTTTATTTCTGCAGAGAAAACCTGCAAAAATAAAATTTACAGCCCTTTCTCCAGCCTCCCCAGTAATCTACACTGTAAGTGTGACAATATTGAAATTTAACTCCATGTATCATGCCTAGTATCTATTAGAGAATTAGTAAGTGTTTGATAAAGTCTTTGGAACACAGGCTTTTGTTAATGTGAACATCACTCATAAAAACATCTTAAAACACACATATCGATCTACATATAGTCACAGAAATGTCTAACAATGCACTCATGAAAAAAGGGGAAAACCAATATTACAAAAGAATGGACTGTAATGGAATGATGACAACTAGAAAAAATATGAAGGAAAATACCAAACACTTAAAATTCTTCCAAATATGGTCTTTTTTATGTCAGTTATCTTAGTTTCCGTGAAAATCCACAAGTTCTGGGAAAAGAAACCTATCCTTACTTTGAAACTTTAACACTACTCTTGCACACATCAGATATAATCATAAACAATCTCTTCTCACCCTTCCAAATGCCACATCAGAGAATTTACACATATTTACAAATAGTGTGCATTGTTGGGCAAACCTCAACTGAAATGAATATTAATTATATTATTCATCATTTAAAGAGTAGCTCTAAAGAGTAGTCTCATTTAAGACTAGTGAGAAGTACAGGTAATTCTTACTAGTGGACATAAGTTTTTACTAGCCCCTCACTTCAGTTGATCTTTTCTTCCCTGAACAAGGAAAGAAATCTGTTGCAGTTGGTTTGGGTTTTTTTGTTTTGGTTTGGTTAGGGTTAGGGTTAGGGTTATCTTTGTTTTGTACCTCGAACAAAATATAAGTAGAGAAATAAGGTGGGTTTTGTTTTACTTGAGAATTTTCAAAATAGCTGAAGGCAACATAAAGTTTAACTTCACAGGGTTGCTTACCAGAAGGTCGGTGCTCTGAAGAGGCAAGCCATAAAATATGCAAAAATAATATTTTATATAGGGAATAGTAGTAGCGTGAAATACATTTTTAAAAGAGAGTAACATTCCTTCATCAGCAACAAAATCCCACAGAATCTTAGTTCTTACTTGTAAACAAGTGTTGGAGCCACCGCTGCTCCCTGGCACGCAGAAGGTAAAGTATGATGTGCGCAGCCCTTTGCCCACCCCGAAGCATTCCGCAAGGAGGATGACCTCTGCCCAGACCAGGCACCAACCTCAGCCAAGAGAAAGACCTATCGAAACTGTTCTGCTTCCAGCTTAAGGGTTGGGGTCGACCACTCCTGCTTAACTTCACTGCAGTAACTACAGGATTCTTAGACCTCCTTCAACTATCGCACTTGACCAGGCACTTGCAACCCACGCGGCTCTGGTTACGGCGGATCGGAGCTCCCAGAGCCTGCGCCCTCGGGGAAGCCCTGCCGGAGGCGGCCCCGCAGGTGGCTTACCGAGCAGCGAGCCTATGAAGATGACGATCTGCACAGTGGTGGTGAACTGGCGGTACAGCTGCGCCTCACCGAACTCCCCGAGCGCGCTGCGGTTCGCGCTCGCCGCCTCGGCGCCCGACGTGTTGCGCGGCTCGCTGGCGTTCCGGGAGATCCAGCTCGCGTTATGCCCCATGGCGAGGCTGGGGCTCCGGTTCCGCTCGCCGCCAGCCTGCCTCGGAGCCCAGTGTGGGTGTCTGACGGAGTCCTGGAGGGCCGGGGCAGCCGGCGGGTCCCCTCACGTCTCCACATAGTCAACCCCGCCACCAGGGAGGCGGGGTGGGAGAGAGGCGAGGCCGCGCCCCTTGTCTGTTCCCTCCTGGGTCCCTGTCAGCAGCCACATGAAGGCTGCAGGGTCAGAGCCCGCCAAACGTCGTCTGTCCCTCCTCCAGGGGGATCAGCGCGCCCAAGCCCACTCAGCAGAGATGAAAACAGAGAAGGGGGCATTTGATGCTCAAGAAGGGTGCTCTCCAATCCTGCCGCCCCCTTCAACCTCTGCCCCCTCCACCCTCTGAGAGCCAGGGTATCCCACTCTAGTCCCCTTGGACTGACGGGCTCTGCCTCCCTCCTCAGAGGGAAAAGAACATTTGGCTAAAGCAATTTTTCAATCCTGCTGGCTTCTAGGCTGGATGACGATGTGAAACCCACGAAATGGCCAAGTCGTGTGGTCGGAAATGACCCCGTCGGCTCAGAACCCCAACACCCGGTGGGCGCCCAGGCCTATTCGGAATGCCCTGAGTCTCCTAAACAGCCTGACCCTGCGCGGCTGGCTGGCTGGCTGCCAGGATGTTCCCGGCAGTCTCCTCCGATCCAGACCCTTGCTGGGGTCTCAGACCTCCCGCCTAGGGACCCCGTTCCGTAATCCCTCTTTGCCTCTGCACGGCCGGACACCCCCTTTCCCGGCCCCACTCGGGCCCGACGCCGCTGGGACAGAGCTTAGCGACACCGAAGGAAAGCGGATGGACGCCCCTTGAGGGGCAGTGGCACCGCCCCCTCGGCCGCCCGGCTACCGGCGCGTGCCTGGGGTAACCCCGGGCGCGCGGCCGGCGGGGACAGTCACGTGACGCTCTGCTCCGCCCCTCACGCTGCCGAGGGAGGTGTCGCCATCTTGGCCCCGCGGAGCGTGACTTCCTTGCGGGAAGTGTAGGAGCCGCGGGATTTGGTGTCTGGCGGCTGGGACACGCTCCCTGCTTCTCCCCGACCTCTCTTCATTTATTGCTACCGTTACTATCCTGGAGCTTGTCAGCTTGGGCTGCCTGCACGTCTCTGCCACCTTTGCAGGGAGCCCAGTCTCCTGGCTTCTCTGTCAGTCCTTAAGTGTAGCTGAAGTATTTAAGAAATATGGAACATAGGAACCCAGTGCGTGGTTTCCTAGATTCTTTTATTGGATCTCTTTTCTAAAACATAACAAAGTATAATCTAAGCGTAGTGGATTCTGGCAATGAAGAGTTGGGAGGAAGCACCTTCCTGTGGGCTGATGCTAAGGCTGGGAAATTGGGATAAACAAATGAATTAAAAATGTAAAAGAGAAACCAAATAGGAGAATGGATCTAGAAGAAAGAAAAGGAGAAAGGCGACAAGAAAAGAAAGATTTTGCATAGTTTGACTTCATGGCAACTGGTTTCTTTTGTACAGCATGAAGTACATGGTAGAAGGCTTTGACATAGTGAATGACAAGATCAGCTCCAAGAACAATAACCCTTAAGCAGTGATTTAAATTAGTTATTTTTTGGTTGCCCCAAGGATGATCCTGCTATAGTTAGACTATTTTACTCTCACTGGTCACCCTTCTTATTTATTGATCTTTAGAGGGCAGAAATCTATGTTAGATACATCTTTGGATTTTCACAATACCTGCACATGGTAATTCTTCATGTAAACAGTTACATTAAACTTTACAGAGACCAAAAAGAAGAGGGAAATTAATAATTACATTAATTATACTCCACCAAAAAAAATTGCTATTTCCAGTAGTTAAAATTAGTTCTGTGAGGCTAAACATGTTTTTCAAATGAAACCCCTTATACTGTAATCATAAAGCACAAATTATAATAGTAATTCATCAACATTCAGCACACTCCTTAAGGAAAGGCTGGAGAAGACTGTGTGCAAATAGAGTTGTTTGGTAATAGTCTAAAAACACCTACCTTCACCCTCTGGCACCTACTCAAAACAATTGGAATATAGGTATGGGAAAACAAAAAAAATGAAGAAAGCAAAAAACTATATTTTCATTTTGAAAAGACACCTCTAAATTCTTTACAGTCCCTATTTTGGTGTTAGGATATAGAGTTAGTGGTATCAACAACCTAATGAACTGAGCTCACCATAATTCTCAGATGTGAGGAAGGTTTGCCTCAGGAACAAATAGAGCCAAGGATAATGTGTCATGATTCTTACAGCTATGTCGTCTATGAACTTTTCACTCATTACAATCATGAGTCAAGAGAAGTTAAGATTGACATGTAATGTTAGAGGTTGGATATGATTTAAAGACATGTTAATTGTCTATAGTAGTATCATTTATATAGTTATAAGTATTATTTACATGTGTCTGGTCATTTACTACTGCATAACAAACCATGACAAATTTAGCAGCTTGAACAACTCCACATGCTATCAACTAGGGTAATTCAAAATCACTGGCTGAATCTGAAATCTAAAAGCTGTTCACTCACAGGCTGGAAGTAGATGTCGCCTGATATCTGGGAACTTAGCTGGAGGTGTCAGCTAAAATATCTACATGTGGCCTCTCCATGTATCTGCTTGGCTTTCCCACAGCCTGACAACTATATTCCACAATATAGCATCCCAAGAAAGACAGTCCTAAGAGAATAAGGTGGAAGCCATATTGACTTTTATGACCTAATCTCAGAATTCACATAGCATCACTTCCACTATACTCCATTGTGGGAGATCAACCTCACACATGAAAGAGTCACACTCCCCGGGCGGCTGGATGCTGAGGCGCTCAGTCACAGAAATGTGGCAGAACTTTCCCCACCCTTCTTGGGTTCAAGGGAGGGTGCCTCATTCTTAGGTGTGTCTTGCTACAGCCCCATGGGTGAAGCTATGCTCACCTGTTCTTTGTAATATAACCCTTTGCCCTGTTTAGGGTAGAATCTTCCATGGAAGTGCCTTGTGTGTGTCCCCTTCTCTTATTGTGCCCTTGGGTGTGGCCTACCCAGATGTCAGTCAACCTGCTGACAGTGGACATCATGAAGATAGACTCAGCCCCCTGAAACCTGACCCCTTGCCTTATTTGAATAGCTTCTTGTGAATAAAAGGAGTCAGTGCTCTCGCTTTCTCTCTTGCTGTGGACCCTTAAGGTCAGAGGAGCCGTCTCAGCGACCCCAAAGAAAAAGGTATTTGTGTCTCTTGTGTGGTTATTTTGCGCAACCCAGTTAGCCCAGTTTAACTGGAGTGACTCCTAAGCCTTTTAGTTGCGAGAACAGAAACCCAGCACTCTATTAAAGCAGTCCCAAAATCACTGTGTTTAAGGGAGAGGGATGTAGAGAGTATGTGGAATGAGAAATGTTACAATCATTTAACAAAATGTTCCATTTTAGATATCTTATTTGGAATTAAAGTTGAACAGGTCAAAAACTACATGCATTAATTACTGTCCATTTCAATTACTTGCAGGTATAATCTTGGAGGCTGCTATACAAAATGCCTTGCAGCTTATAAACAACAACAAAAAAAATTTTTTCATAGTTCTATAAACTGGATGTCCAAAATCAAGGTACCCACAGATTCAGTGACTGCATTCTGACTCATAATTCATGCCTTCTAGCTGTGTCTTCACATGGTTAGAAAAGTACCCTTTTATAAAGGCACTAATCACATTCATGAGGGTGAGCTCTCACCACATAATCACCTGCTAAAGCAGGGGGGTCTCCTCATAACTTCACACTCGTGATGAGGTTTCAACATAGAACTTATGAGGGGAAGAAACAATATTTAGACGATAGCAGATGTTATGTTGATATGAGCTGGCCAGGAAATAACACTTGGCAGCAATCAAGTACATGGCCAGAGCTAAGGACAGATGATTGGAATTACCAGCCTACACACTTTGTGCTGATAATTTTATCCAAAACCCTCTGAAGCTACAGTAAAGCAAATCATAAACAATGAAGTACAGTTTTGTTTTCTTTTAAGGCAACCTCTGACTCTAGCTCTAGAAAATGCTATCACAAGTCATTTTTCTTTACATTCATCTCCCATAGAATAGTCTAAGATGGCATCCTCCCAACTTAAAACCGCTTTATGTTCCCAAAGTTTTGATGTGATGGCTAATTTTATGTGTTGACTTAACTAGGTTAAGAGATGCCCAAATAACTGATAGAACATTATTTGTGAATGTATCTGTGAGGGTGTTTCTGAGAGATTGACATTTGAATCAGTAGGCTGAGTAAAGAAAATCCAACCTCATCAATGTAGGTAAACATCATCCAATTTGTTGGCAGCCTGAATAAAAAAAATAAATAAAAAATAAAAAGAACAAAAAAGCAGAGAAAGGAGGAAGGGTGAATTTATTCTCTCTTATTGAACTGGAACATCCATCTTCTTCTGTCTTCAGGCCTTAGTAGTCACTGAATTACACTACCAACTTTCCTTCGTTTCCACCTTGCAGATGGCAGATTGTGGGACTTCTCAGCCTCTGTAATTGCATGAGCCAATTCTCAATATCCTCTTTCATATATATAAATGAAATAAATATTATAAACTATGATATATATATATATATATATATATATGTATATTTCATTGGTTCTATTTCTCTGGAGAACCCTGAAACCCTGATTAATACACCTGTTTCATGATTAATATAGTTGATTAGCACTGAGGATCCATTTTTCCATAGAAATAATAAACATGGTGATAGATTTTTGAGGAAAAGAGGAATCCTAAAGAGGGAGTGAGAGGTTCTGGGGATTAACTACCCCAAGGAAAGTTCTAGTCATTCTCTAGATCTATCTCCCTCTCCAAAGTTCTGCCTTGTTCAGTCTGCACAGCATTTAATGAAGTTACTCTTCTACATGTGTCTGTAGTTCACTCATTTAACACATGTTAAGGCTCTGTGTTACGAACACAATTAGGGATGCAGTATGTGGAAAACAACAGATTTTTACAGATTTCCCCAATCATCTATTCTGAAATTAATCATATACCTATTGAAACTTGCTTGTGGATTTTCTTGTAACCACTGGAATATAGGTGTGATGATCAATTTTATGTGTCAAGTTGACTGGGTCATGAGGAACCCATATATTCAGTCAAGCATTATTCCAGGTGTGTCTGTGAGGGTGTTTCTGGATGGGATTGATATGAATGAATAGACTGAATAAAGCAGATTGTCCTCCACTGTGTGAGTGGATCTTGTCCAATCAGTTGAAGACCTGAAGAGAAAAAGAAAATAAAGAGAAAAATATTACTTAGGTAGCATTTCTTTCTGTTGAACTGTCTTTGAGCCATGCCTGGACTCCAGCTGAAACATTGGCTCTTCTTGGGTCTTGAGCCTGCTGGCTTTGAACTGAAACTCCACCATTGGTGTTTCTGTTCTCAGGCATTTAGACTTGGGTTGGAACTATACCACCCGCTCTCCTAAATTTCTATCCTGCTGACTGCAAATCTTGGAACTTGTTAGGCTCCGTGATTGTGTCAGTCAATTCTTCATAATTAATCTCTTTCTATATGTATATTTATCCTGTTTGTTATGTTCTCTTTGGAGAACCCTAATGCAATAAGTAATTTTTTAAAAATAACTCTTTCCTTTTCAACTTTTTCCTTTATTCTTAGGATTGATAGTAATTGCAAAGCCCAACATGGTAAGTGAGGTGGATCCAATGGGTTTTATTTTCCCTTACTTCTTCCCTCCTATCCTTCACATGCCCCTGTGTGGCCTTTTACTAATGACAGAAGAGAAAAGCTGGAGAAATGTAAGTATTTTTGTGTGATAAGCCCAAAAGCAGCATGCTGAGAAAAGTCTTTATGGCACTTGGCTACCCGTCTGGAACAAGC